GAATAAATTCGGTACCAGTTGGTGCGACTCCGGCCAAGGTTTTTGTACTATTAATTTTTATTTAGAGGAGGAGGAGGAGGAGGAAGAATTTAATCCCAAGGAATAATAGAGGGAAAAAGGTGGAAAAAAAATCGTAAAAGTTTTTCCTAAAGAAAAATTCAAATAAAGACCGCGAAAAAAAATAAAAAAAATTTTCAGGGTTTTTCCCGGTGCAGATAAAAAAAAAAAACTTTTTTCATCCCTTAACTCGTTATTTCCAGCCACCATCACCCCCACTCCTTTCCCTCCCTCCATCTTTTTTCCTCACATCAATTTTTCCGTACTTTTTTTTTTTAAAAAATTTTCTTCCGGATTAAAAAGTTTAAACATTTTTTTTTTTTTTTTTAAATAATTTAATTATAACCGAAGAAAAACGTTTTTTTAAATTATTATTAAAAAAGGAAAGAGGAAAAAAAAATCCACGTTTCTGATTGGTCGGATGACCGCAGCGTCGTCCGTAAACAAATAAGTCAATAAATAAATGTCAAACACGTTTTATTACGTCACAGTCGAACCTTTTTTTTTTTTTTAATTAATAACGTTATTATTTAAAAAGTTAAAAAAAATCAATTTAATTAATTTTTTTTTTTTAACCAACAGCAAAAACTTTTTTCCTCTGCTGGGTGCGAATAAAAAAAAATTTTTTTTTCATTCACTAATTACCAGCATTATTATTATTATTATTATTAAAACAAGACAACTTCTTTGTAATTTTTTTTAATTATCTTCTTCTACTTTTTTTCCCCTCCTGCCTACCTCCCTTCTTTATTCGACTATTTAAAAGTATTAAAGGTAACAAACGACATCATCATCATCATCATCATTATTATATTTTAAGTAAATTGTTAACTTTATTATTTATTGCTACAAAAACAACAACAACAACAGCAAAAAAAGTTTACCTTCGACTTAATTGTAAACATTAAGACCTTTTATTTTTATAAACAAAAAAAAAAAATGTTTTTATCCTCTTTTGATAATTTATAAAAAAAAAGGAAAACTTTTTAAAAAAATAAATCGTGCATATAATTATCATTATTATCATTAGTATTATTATTATTGTCTTAAAGTACCTGATCGAATACAAACCAATGATTGATATTCGTTTGATGACGTTGAATTACCATCCATATCGTATATTATGCTCTGTAAAAAAAGAAAATTCATTCATTCATTTAATTATGATTGGGTAAAATGTAAAAGCGATACAAGTGCCAATTCATACAATCGTAAAATTAATTTTTACAAATCACTTTATCGAATTATTATCATTATTATTATTGCATTCGTTTTAAAAACAAAATTTTTTTTCTCTAAAGTAATTAATTAAATTAACTTTAAAAAAAAAAAAAAAAAAAAAATTATTTTCAGAGGGATTAGATTTCTTTTTTATTATTCAAACTACTACTACCACT